GTTATTTTTTCAGATACCCGTCTTCGCGGATCAAATCAGGAATGCTCAGATGCTTGCCAAACACGGTGGTGGTATTGTTCTGAGCAAATCTGCTTTGGAGCATCCAGAGGAAGTGAGGAGTTCTCTTGAAAGCATTCTCCACGATGAAAGGTATAGCCATCGGTTCTTCCGTCCATTTCAAGAGGTTGGATTATTCCCTCTGTGACCGCGAAACCGCAACCAAATCGATAAGATGACTCATGTTGAAGAATGTTTCAGCTTCACTAAAAATGCGAAACGGCTGTCGGAGATGCTGTTGAATCAGCCAGTCAGCGCCAAGCAGCTCCTCATCAAACATAGCGAATTTGCCGCCAGGTGAAGTTGTTCTTTTGAACATAGTTTAGGAAAGGCCGCATTCATTATTTTGAGAAGATTAGGTATGTAATTTTAGAAGTACTTGTTGGTACGAGGTTGAGCTACAGTTCGGTTTCCTTTTCAAGACAATTGAAGCCGTATTTGGCTCAATCCACATAAAAGTTGTATATTCCTTGGGCAATAAAAATCGTAATTGCTGTAAGCAATGTCAACTGTTTTTGAACCACATTCAGCGCTGGATCACATCGGTGATCATTAGGAAGGGAACATTTGGAAGGGACTCGTATTCCGTGAAGTGGGCATTATAACTTCGAAGGTCACTGGAGGAGGAATTTTTCTAGAAATAAGAAGATTTTCAATCTGCATTGCTAAACACCTCCACGGCTCGGGTATTAAGACCTGGATGAAGTCCTGGATTTCAGGCCAATTGAGCCATCCTCGCGGTTGGTTAAATTCCCAGAAAATTGAAGCATTGGCTTTCGACCAAATGAACCCCATTGTTTCAAGTTTCAAAAAATCGACACTCTCCCCCCCTCCCCTCAGAGCGATCTCGATACGACCCCCACCACCGCCAGCAACCTTAGGAGGTTCCCCAAGGAGGACGGTAATCGAAGCTGAAATCCCTTTCCCGCCTTAATCACCGTCCTCACCCCATTGTTTTTTTCATAGCGTTTGGTTTCGAGACCAAGACAGGCTTCATCGCCCACTTTTTCCTCTAAAACGAAATGTACAGGCACGACCGACTGATTTCGAAAATTTTATGGCCTCTCACCTCAAGGGCAGTCTCAGACAACCCCCCCCCTCCCCCAGCACTTCGTATAACTGCTACGTAATAACTTCGTATAGCTATATCATCACGGGAAATAAGCGCAATCTACAAAAATCACAACGTATTATCTTGAATTCGAACACAAGTAGCAGACGAGCACCAGTGCTTGACTGATAAATGAACTGCCTTCATTGAAGCTTAACAGGATTGACCTATAGTCTAAATGGAGCTTCAAGCAGGAAAGATAGTAAGCTTACATGAATTGGCTTTCAGAATCACAAAAAAATATTTCCATTTTGTTGCAGGCTACATATCAAAATGGGATGTTCATAATGGTTTTGAATTGGAAACGAGTGCATGACACATCTAGGAACGAGAGCCCACAGCGGAATTGTCCAAATTGGGCGCCAAACAGCGGAATTGCGCGAATTGGCGCGGTCAGCCTATGACCGCATTGGAACTGCTGGCCTCTGCGGTGCCAACACTGACGTCCCCTCAGTAAAACTAACCAGAATCTGATGAACTTCGAAATCCGTCTTGTGCGTCTCTGTTTGCCTCATTGAGCTTCTATAATCGTTCATCACTCGGAAAAAAGGTCCTACTCCTTTACATGTGGTCCACATATCCTTTCACATTCATTTTTGAGTGCAGTAATGGAGCGTAATTTAAATTCGAGGGTGAAAATGTTGATTTGTTTTCAGGTTTGGACGCTTGCCGAATCTCGATCCATATGGACGGCATTTATCTTTTATCGAGTATTATACTGATTGACATTTTTCTTGCCGTTCTCGGTGTCATAATTGTCGTAGCGTTGGTTGTCTACAAAATTTCTCGGAAGGTGTTTTTTAACCATAGCTAAAAGTAAAAAAGAATAATCATTCATGATTATTGATTGCTCATGGGTAGATTTGCAAAGAAATTGTAGTGAAACCTGCCAAATAGCAAGCAAAACCTAGTATTGAACGGAAAGTAGACTTTCTGTTCACTTCTATGCGTTTGATGCAGTAGCAAAGTGACAACCAGGGTCAACCCCACTACTTGAGATTTCTCAAAAATGAGGAGCGAGGGGCAGGGAGAGGGTGGGCTCGAAAGGAAGTGGTCACACTGGGTAGACATTGCACTTCTTTTTCCTTTTTAAAAGGAAGAAGAAGAGAATAGAATAGAAGAGTGAACAAGAAGGAAAGTTCTCGTGCAGGCTGAGCAGCTATAGCTCCACTATATGCACCTCTCCCATACCCTTTGACGGTGTCTTGCAAAAGTTAGGTAGATTAGAACTAAGGTTGTAATTGATTACCATGAGGGCCGGATGGGGGCCATATAATGGTCCCGTCTAGGAGCAGAAATGAACGGACCAAATTGCTAAATTCGTCTCAGCGCAGTGGTTGACCCTTGGGCGGCGGATATTAGATCTCGTGTTTCCGGATTATACACCTCTCTGAGCTTCCATCTCTCAAAACAGTCCAGTTAGTTAGCGCTGGCCTTGTTGGTCCTTATTTTGGTCCCTTTGCTTCTCCACAGTTTTCCTTTATTGTATATTACTGGTTTTTAGGACAGAATTATAGAAATTAGAAATCGTTTCGTGTTACCGATCAATTCATAGCTTTGTGAAATCAGCACATCAGCTGGCATACCTAGCTTATCTGGTAAACCAGTCCCTTTTTTGATTTTTGCATCTACAGCCTTCCTCGTTTTGAATTTTTCTTTACTCCTTAATAAATACGGCTCTGAGCCGTTTGTTTTACATTTTGTAGCTATCGACAAAAGAATAAATATTAGTCGCAAATGTGATAACCTTTCAAAAATGTTGCTTTGAAGTCATCGATGAGAAGTGTCCCTCCCTGATGTTTTTGCCGAGGGAAACGAGGCAGATAGAGAAAACCACTCGAACGACGCAAGACCTTCGATCATTTAATGGTTGAGAAATCTGCTTTGGAGCTAATATGAATATACTCACAAAAACTAAATAATTATTGTCGATTGGCTTGCGCTATTTTTGAAGCGCTTTGCTTACTGTGAACAAATAGGCGGAAGGTGCTCCTACCGCATCCTTCTCCAATAACTCCCTGCCTTACGCCCCTCTCTCCCAGCTGTCGAAACAAAGGACTAGCAATTAACGGTCTTTGGGCCGATGTCATAGTTTGCGAATCGAGCGATTCGCTAGCGAATCGCTGGATCCGAGCGTTGCGCCAGCGAATCGAACGTTGCACCAGCGAATCGAACTATGTACCAGCGAGTCGAACTAGGTACCAGCGACTCAATAGTGGCGGGACCCAACGTTTAAAGGAAGCCCGCCACTTTCAAACAGTGTCCACTGTCAAGTCCCGCCACTTTCAAACAGCGTCCACTGTCACGTGACACTGTTTGAAAGTGGCGGGCTTCCTTTAAACGTTGGGTCCCGCCACTATTGAGTCGCTGGTACCTAGTTCGACTCGCTGGTACATCGTTCGACTCGCTGGCGCAAAGTTCGATTCGCTGGTGCAACGTTCGATTCGCTGGCGCAACGCTCGATTCGCTCAACTGTGACATCGCGTTTATTGCGGCCCGCTGTGTCAGTCAATCGCAGGCGCGCGCGCTCGCGCGGGACAAAAATTTTCGAGGAACAGGACAGTAAATTTTCTTTGTAATCATAGAGTTTGTACGGCAACGACAGTTGGGAAGGGAAGGGCTTGGGAAAGGGTAGGACTTAGCTCAATAGGTTTTGGGATGCAAGCCTCATTTGTGAGCAGGAACAACTTTCGACTAGCTCTGGATAACCTCAGTCAGTGTGCGCCCTCAATGCAGAGAGACAACAACTCAATAGCAAAGCGATTATTGTTGATGTTTTGGGAATTTCCAGATTTTCGGTGCACCGAAGAATAGAAAGGTAGAACAAGAGCTTTCCAATGGAAGTTTCTCTACTATATTTGGATTATTTAAATGTGAAATCTTATTCGTGTACGCAAATATTGTAATGGCTAGGTACGCTGGCTTAACCCTTTCGGACCTGAATTTTTCCGTGGAGAAATTTTTCTTCTAGCTATTGTTTATTACTTGTGAGCACATAGGTATCATTATGGCGAAATTTGGAAGCTATTCGATCACAAACAAAGAAACTAGGAAGCTTTGAAAATTGGCCCACCTTCTTAGTTTTTAGCTTATGTCGAAACAATTCCAAATTTCATAGTTATGTCGAAAAAGTTTATGATCTTGCACAACATTATATCTAACGTTTTTGATAAAAATGAATATATGTCAAGTATTTTAGAAATGATTGACACTTACTTGGCAGCTTGCTGTGACAAGCGTCGATTCATTGGTGCACTTGTACACAAAGGGCGACCCAGGACCAAGCCTACGAGAGGAGAAAATCACCAGGTAAAGGAAATGTTGCCCATGTCCTTCCACAGGATCCCCCACCTCCCTGAGGCCTAGTCTCAAGTTCTGTGAGCGGATTACTCACTTCAGTATCCTCCCTAATGACATGAGAGCCGATGACGCCATTGGATGTCGCTGGGGCTTTTTCCCCTCCCACCCCCCCCCCGCCCCACGCGCTCAAAAGGACTTAGACTGGATCATTCCTCAGCACCTTCCAACCAATCGTGCTAAATAGCGTCATCAAATTCGCTCCTCTCGCCAGTCACTGTCTTTACCTCTGCGCCATTGAAATCAAGAGAAGGAGGTCCCGCTTTTCGGATTTTTGCCTGTCTACCTTTGATTTTTCATCTAACCGGGCGCCACTTGGCGCTTCTGCCTTTATCTGTCATCTTTATGAACTTATCAGATTGTAAAGAATAGGAGTCATCAAGCCTCAGGATGGAGACCATCGTAGTCATCTCACTTCTGCTTGGAACCTGGAAAATTATTTTACAACCAAATAGTAATAATTACGGCAGTACTAATTTGATCTTTCGATCAGAACTGAGGTCCATGGTTTTTGATTATCTGCCGTGATTCTGTTTCCATTCATCTCATAATGGACGGAAGCGTGCGTATTTCCCCGTCTCGTGCGACATCAGCCATTTTTGAGCTCGCTGTGGTGATGGTCCTTGCTCTTGCTGGCGCAAACGTTTCCTGCAACAATCACAATTGCTGCAGCTGTCGGATATTGCGTTCATCCTTCGTGTCCATCCTCCAACTTCATTCAATGTCCGTTATGCCGTATACATATTTGTAGAAAGAAAACCCTTGTTGACACTAGTAATTTTCATCTCCTATTTTAATTTATGTTTTGGTGTTTGTGGCGACTATCATTTTTT